TCTGAGTGACATCAGATATAAGGTCATTTGAGGGTGTGGGGGCCCTAGAGGTTCCCCGAAATTGCAGCCACCTGGGTGCCAACTCTTGGGGAACCTTGTTTTCCCAGCCTCTGTTTGTGGCGCAGAGCCAGGCAATTAGCTGAGAAACATCCACTTCACATTCGAGCCTCCTCAATGAATTGGCCACCTCGGTTACACCCAATTCTACCTTAAAAGGGCCTGAAGTTAACTCTCAGAGAATGACTAGCTAGTGAAGGGTGAAGAAACCACGTCAGTCATTCGAGGAATGATTGAAGAAGTGGGGATGTTAAGCCAGACAAGACAGGCTCTAGAGGCACGTGAACCCTTTCTGCAAATATTTTAAGACTCTTGTGAACAAGAGATTAGACTGGTCTCGTGCTGCCTGAGGGGACAGAAAAGAGATGTTCCCTGCCCCTCTCCCTGCTCAGCTCCACCCTCCCTTGGGAGGGGCAGGGAACCTCCCCCTTTCCTGGGGACCACCCTGTTACATTTACAGGAGGTGGATTTTAGGTCAGAAGGATCAGGAATGAACGTTTATGGAGTTCTTCCCAGGAATCAGGTATAACTAGGTCTTTACACGTATCAAGAGGAAAATGGTAAAGCTAAGATTAAGTTTCTGATCTGCCAGACTACAAAGACCTCGCATTTACATGATACATTTAATTTAATGGAATGGATTGCTTTGGATGTAATGATTGTGCCAAAGTGTTTCTGCAGTGATTGGTTCAGCTGTGCCAGCAGATTCATCCAGCCCTCTTTAATTATGTCACAGATTCTACACTCAGGAAGAGAGGAGAGAGGTTGTCCGATGTATAAGACAGAGGAGACCACCCACCTCACCAGCAGTGCACGCCTTGATCTATTGTGCCTGCCAGTTTTCTTGAACTTGTTAAAACAATAATCTTCACTTTGAGCTTAACAAATGTGATCATAATATACAATTGTTATCCAGCTTTCTTCCTCTAAGGACCCCCCCCTGCTTTTTTTTTTCAAATCTTGACACTCCTTCCTTTCCTCTACCCATCTCCCTACATCAGATGAAAAGTGGGACCTCTACAGTAAGAGCTAAGAACTGGTGGAGACAGTAACTTCTTTTAAAGATTTATTTATTTTTATTTATACATATAAGAACTGGGGTGTGTACCAGAGGTGTGGGGTGGGGGTGGTTGTGTGTGTGAGAGGATTCACCAGAGACAGAGTGGGAAGCAGAACAGGTGAATCTGAGGGAGCAGTGGGCGAGACAGGAGAGGTCTGCTGTACCATGTGGATTAGCTCCCTGACCAGGGATCAAACTCGTGCAGCAGTGGCTGGGAAGAGCTTGATAGTGCTGAGACTTTAATCCCTGCACCACCAGGAAAGCCCCCTGGAGATAGTAACTTTGACCTGACTACATTTCAGCCTGCCAGGTGACTCCCAGAAGTACCTTGAAAAGTCCGGAGGAAAACACGTGTACAGTTTCTTTGCTTATAGGGAAGCTGCACAAATGTCCTTCCCTGAGGGCTTGCATTCCTTCTGTGAATAAGTGGCCTCATACTTTCTGAAAATAAAAGAGTAGGTAAGGAAACTGGCTTTATCTCCAGCACGTGCTTGTCACATGCTTTGCCTCCAGCATTAAGTTGTCAAATAGAGGATGAAGGGGCAGTGCCTGTTGTTTCTTGGATCTCTAGCAAATCTGGTTACAATTTCTTATTAAAAACCTAATCAGAATACCAAGTTAATCTCTCTTTCCCAGAGGGATTTGCCTAAGGCAGCATCCAGAAGTGGTCTTCCCTTCCCTCTGAGCATTTAGAGCTTTAGAAGCTATCTTGTCCTTCCAAAAGCCCCCTGCTATTTACATCCTTAATCTCTGGGGTCTTACTGTACTCCTCTGTCCTCCCCACACCTCTACCCCCTACCCCCACTAAGGAATTGGAGATCTGGTGGCTAGCCCTGTAGAGATGCTGAAAGATGTGCCTACTTCCTTCTGGCTACTTTCTCCCCTGGCTTAGTCCCTAGGCCTCAAGGACACTCAGAACTCTCTTCTAGTCAAATCCTTGTATCCTTCTTTTGCATAATCTGTGAGTGATAGTAGCTCAGTTATCAGATCTTTAACTCAATAGAAGATTCCCAATGATGGACTTTAGGGCATAGACAATGCAGGGTTAAGGTACAGGCAAAGGTTAAATCACCTTGTTCTTCCTTCCTTTCCTACCCCTCTACCCCCTTCCTAAAGGGCAGCTTAGTAGGTGGCTGTGGAGCTGGAGATAGGCTTGTGATGTTCAGAAAATGGATGCTTTGGAAGGTAATTTGTGAGATCTTCCATTTTTGATCTCACTGAGCTTAGGTCCTGGTCAGCCACCCAGGCAACCTCTGTATTTATGAGCCATCATGAAACATACAGCCTCAGACATCATTTGTAAGGGGTGGGGATTCATCCGTGCAGATTGAAACCCCTAACTCTGTGCTGGAGTCTGGGAATGTGAGCAAGAGAGTGGGACATGGGATGTTGCACATGGGCTCCAGAGCCACATGCTGACTCCACCACTTAGAAGCTGTTGACCTTGAAGGTTTTCCTTTAATCTCGTTGTGCCTCATTTTCCACACCTGTCATCCTCACAGAGTTGTAAGAATTAAACACGACCTGGCATGTGCTTAGTGTTCTACAGGCGGTGGCTCTGTTCCTGTCTTGAAGCATAGGGATGACATCTGCATGGTTGTTGCCTCCACCAGCATCTGTATGAGCATAAATGGGAAACTTGGGAGTGTGAGTGGCACGGTGGCTGCCTGGGTCCCAGGTGCTAACTCACTTTCCAGTCTGGGGAAGCCTCACATGTAGGGGAGCTCGTGTTCCCATTCATGGCCAGGAAACTCCCTAATGATACATTGCCCCAAGTGGTCCTTAGGGGAACACCTCTCCTTCTTGTCTTGCCCATCGTTCTCACAGACTCCCCATACCATACTTTCTTGTCAGGATGCAGTTGTTTGGGTGATTGACGGGCCCGGGGAGGGAAGTTTTTCTCTTCTCTTTCATCCACCTATAGTATTGTAACCAGGATCTGGAGCAGCAACAAGAAGGATTGGATCTTAATTTTAGTGAAAGGAGAAACGAAGTTAACTCAGTATTGGGCCACAATTGTGAGTTGTTGACGGGGTGTGGGGGTAGGAGATAGGCATCATATTGATCTTGGGGGGGTGTGTCTGTTCCTCAGACCTCCCTCGCTGGTGAGTGGGGTATGGGGGAAGAGCAAAGAAAGGGACTTGTTTGCTGAAGTTCAGAGAGAGGCTTTCAAATAGAATCTTCAAATATTTAAAAAATGTTGGCACCATTGAAATGTGTGCACCCTGGGACAAAATCCCAGTCAGTGAGCTATGTACAAAACTAGCCACAGAGATCAGAGAACCAAGGAATGACTGGCCCCTGTCTGGTTCCCAATTTTGTGTTTTTATAATGTTTTCACTTCGTGTCTGTGCATTTCCTGAAGCCTTTCCCTGCTTCTCTGGTGTTGTGTGTCTGATATTGAGAAGATCGAGGTATTGGTGCAACTGAGACTTGCTCTCCAGAGAGATTGCTTTTCCTGTTCCCTATTTGTGGGAACCTTAAATTAGTAACATTTTGGGACTCTTTTTCCTGGAATTTTGTGGTTATTTTGAAGTGGGCGCCAGGGTGGAGGGCCTGCTCTGGGGGCCCACCCTCTGGCTTTTTAATTTTTGGTTTTGCTTTTAAATAAGAGAATGGTGTTTACCTGTGACCAGAGCTCCAGAAATAGATACTTGGCCCAAGACCGGCGACGCCTAGAAGCCATGTGAAAACCTCTGTAGCTTCACTCCTCACCTAGTCTTAAGTAACTTCTTGCAAGTTTGGTGATCTCAGAATTGAAAAGAATATTAATTGCTTTAACATGGAAAAGAAATCTACCTTCCAGATTTCCCTTCTCCTCTTCTTCCTCCCCACTCTTTGTTTTCTTTGATAAAATGAGATTTAAAACACACAAATTTAAATGGGACTAGAAACTTTGAGCCATAAAAATACCTGGGGCCAGTGATCGTGCAGTGGGAAGATTAAGAGCAGAAGAGGAGAGAGTCAGTGGGGATATAAGGAGGGAGCAGGGTCTTGAGGGAGCAGATGCTGGTTGACAGAGGAGGAATGTGAGCTTTCTGAAAAGCCAAGAATCACCAGTACCTGAACCCGAACTCTATTGTGAACTGTCCCCTTTTTGGGAAAGGCAGCGTATACCCCAGTTCCCTCCTTGGTGACTTTGGGTGCGGAAAGAAACTACTTTCTGCTTATTTATTTATTTATTTATTTATTTATTTAATTTATACAAGAACTAGGGTATGGGCCAGATGCACCACCGGAGGGTAAGAGGATTCACCAGAGAAAATAGAGTGGGGAGGGCCTCCCCTGGTGGTGCACTGGTTTAGCGCTGGTTGAACGCTGGGCTGCGAAGCTGCCCTCAGCCTCTGCAGCACCAGCTCCATCTCCTGCCAGCGGCAAGGGTCCCACGTGGTGCGTAGACCTCTCCTGCCATGCCCGCTGCTCTCCTCAGCAGTGTACTTCAGTCTGCCTGCTCTGCTCCCCGTGCTGGCTCTGGTGAATTCTCTCACCCTCCCTCGCTTCTGACTGTAGCCAGTGGTTGTATAAACAAACAAACAAACAAACAAACAAACAAACAAATAAATAAATCTTTAAAAAAAAAAAGAAAAAAGAAAACAGAGTGGGGAACAGAACAGGCAGACTGACTTTCTGCTTATTTTTAGTGCATCCTTTTTAGTTTCTGATATGTAAGTTTTATAATATATGTGATATATCAGCATGGTAGCAAATGTATATGATTTATAACCAAACAAATATCTTTGGGAGGCATTAGTGTGTGATCACAAAAGTTTGGATACCACTGCTCACAGAGATGGTAACAGTTGAGAGAGAACCAGTGCTTCTCACACTTGAGTACTGAGGATTCCTTGGAGAGCTTGTTCAAATGCAATTTTGCTTTCAGTAGGTCTGGACTGGCACCCAAATTTCTGAAGTTGGAAGGCTGACTCCAAAAGGGTGAGGTGACTTTCCCCCACCCTTCATTTTTTACTGTAGAATTCCATTTGGTGAGAGTCCCCATGGGGTCATCAGGGAACTTGCCTGTATCCTTTCCCATAAGGACTGTGTCATGTGCTTCCTGAGTTAATTTGCTTCTTGGTCCAGTGACTTGACTGCCTACTTCATGGGAAAGAAAGGTGCAGGCTGTCACCAGAGAAATGTCCTGGTACAGGGAGCCGGTGCCCTGTGCCTGGTGGACTCCAGTGCTTTATTTGCCTTCCCTGGCCTCTGCTGGCCTTCTAACTCAGGCCGCACAGGACCTAGTGCTTCTGAGGCTAACTAACACTTGCCAAGGACACCTCCATGCTGATGCTTGCAAATGACAACCCCTAAGGGCCTTTTTTTTTTTTTTTTTTCCACTTTGAAGGGAGGAAACAGCCTTGAAGCTTTAAGGGGTTATCTGAGCTCTTAGGACTTATAAGCTGCGAGGGACAGGGTAGAACAGGGCCGGTTCCTCCACTGCCTGTTCAGTATTCTTTCTGTTCAGATCAAAACTGCCTCTATTCAGGGAGCCAGTGAGTTATTAAGAGGCTAGAATTTTGAGGACTTAAATTTTCACTTATTTGTTACCAACAGTGTGTCAAGTTCAAGCACAGGATGCAGAGGTAAAGGAAGTCCTTAGCCATAAAGCAGAGACAGAGAAGCAAAGGTGCATTTGCCAGATTGTTGAGTTGGTGATAGGGTCAGGTCTGGGCGCTGCAAATGCCCAGAGAAGGGTTAGTGGGGAAGCTTAGCTGGAAGAAGGTTCTAGGCTGAGAGACCTGCAGGGTGAGATGGCCTTGGGAGAGGAGGTGCTGCCAGCAGGGGAGCCAGCGAGCAAACGGGAATTTCTCCTCAGTGTAGCCCAAGTAGTGATGGTTGATGACTTCGAAACGTACTGAAAATCATTCTGTTGACATCCTTAGTAATTGTTCTGTCTTTTTGTTGGATTGGTTAATTTAATCATTAGCAAATATTTCTCTTGAATCCGCTCATATTCATTGTTCTGAAATTTGCTGTTAATGCGCTTAATTAGTGTTCATCTGGTATATTTTTCTTATCCTTTTATTTTTAACGATCTGTGTCTTCATGTTTAAAGTGGGTTTCTTGTAGTTGAGATTGCTCTTTGTACCCACTGTGATTGTGACTTTTAATTAGTGTTGAGGCCACTTAGTGTAATTATAAACTCTTCAAGCTTAAGACCAAAAGCTGCCTGTCCCTCATTCCCCAAAGGTGGGGTGAGGGTTGTTCTTCCAGTCTGGTTTGAGGATTTGGATTTGACCTGCTTCTTCTAAAGTTTTTCTCATCAGTTGGCCTCAGAATCTGCAGCCCTCTGGTTTAAGGCTCCTGGAATACAGCCCTTCATTTTTGGGGTGCGTTTTTGAGAAAGAATTGCCAGTGTTGTTGAACTTGTTGTCTTAAGTCATGTACAGTGTTACAAGTCAGTGTTACCTTAATAAGAAAAAAATGAAGAAAAACAAAAAGAAATTGCCAGTGAACAGAGTCAGCTTAGGAGCCACCTTCCTCATTTAGGGCCTCCAGCCTTCTCTTGTAAATCCCTTTCTGGCCTGAAGAAGCCCATTGACTTCTGGTGACACCCTCTGATGATGAAGAACTAAATAGTTTGCAAGAAGGGTTCACTTCTATTGGACCCGCTAGTGCAGTGGAGCCTTTTGATAGCCCGGGCTGCGACGGACAGCCTTGACACAGACCCAGAGAAACTCTGAAAACAGAAGCCTTGACCTGCTGCCTAAAATGTAAGGGCTCTGCTGGGTCAGGCGCTTCCTGTAGCAGAAGGGATTCTCCCTAGTGTGGGAAAGATAGGCATCCACTACTGTGTCTGCATATCCGAGTGGAAGGTCACGTCCTTGGTGAGATCCAAATGCCTTGTTGATGTGTCCTGTACCCGCTCAGTGACCTTGTGCTCAACCGCTAAGTTCGCAGTTCCTAGTTCTCAGTTCTCAGTTCCTAACAAGGCTCACTGGTCACTGGGTCACTGGGTCCAGCACCTTCCTGGTTGGGAGCTGAGAGAGGCAGATCTCCAACACATTCAAGTTAGAGTTAAGACTCTGGGTTCTGGGGATCCAGGGACTCCTGGTGGGGTGATAGGTCACTTCTTCAGACGTGCTTTTCCTAAACCACAGGTGGGTTCTTTGAAAGCCACCTTGGGCTTAGTGGGGAACAGAATATAAATACCCATCTTAAGGCCAGAGGCTCTGAGGACCAGGCAATTTATAAGTTTGTTCGGGGCCAGACCTTTTGTGGGGGGAGAAGGAACAGGACCAGATCTCCCCCTTCTGCCTTAGAGGCCAGGACACACCTGCCCTACCCTACGTTGTCTCTCTTCCTTGGCTCTGTGATGTGGGGAGTCTCACTAACACCCATGTTCTTGCCCATTAGCCATTATCCACTGCAGCTGGCAGGTCATCCCAGGATCATCCAGACACACGGCCTCCGACCCCGCTGTTACGCCTTTGCCACTTTCCTCCTTCGCAGGACATCCTCTTCTCTCTCAGTCCTCCTGTCCTCCCCAGCCGCGGCTTTCCTGCTAAGATTCTGGCCACACCAGTTCCCACCTTCACTGAAGAGGACTTTCAATGAAGACTGAGGAAGTTGACATTGGTCTTAGAGGAAGTAGGGAGCCACTGACAGGTTCTGTGCAGGGGGAAAACAAAACCAAAGTGTTCTTTTCGAAAATGGGTGAGTGTCAGCAGTGTGCAGAATGAATTGGGCTGGCAGAGGCTGGAGGGAAGGAGACAGGAAGTGGTGATCTACAGTTCAGGTTAGGTTTTTAGGTTTTGAACTAGAGTGGAGATAGCAGGAATGGGAAGAACACAGAGTACTCACATGAGAAACATTAGGTAAGATAGGACTTGGTTAGCTATAGGGGTCAGAGAACTTAGAGAAAAAGGAATCAGTGATTACCAGATGGGCCTGACTCCAATCTACTGACCTTTCTGAGCTGCAGTTTCCTTCTCTGTAAAATAAGAGACTTGGTTATCTGTGACTCGTGCTGGTGACATGAGATCTTGCTGCTTTAACTCGGCCTGTTTACCAGGAGAAACAGACCTCCCTGGCCTCCTCCTGTCTGGTCATATAACCTACTTTCTCAGTTGAGGGTAGGAGTTCTTAGAAGAGGCACAGTGCCCCCAGCACCTGCTCAGCACATCACATGCCATCCAGGCAGGGCTCACTGGTGTGCAGCTCAAGTTCTGCAGAGTGAGGCTACCACGGCCTGGGCTGGCCTCCTGGGCCTGCCGCCTGTGGCTGCCTGCCATCCCCAGCAAGTAAGCAAGATCTGAGGCCCAGTTGTCAGGTGGATTTCTGTTACCCTGAAGCCAGACTTGCTGACTCTGGACTGCAGAGAACCCGCTGAACAGAGTAAAATCTAAAGTTTGGGAGGAAGGGAGGTAAGCCTGGAATAAGTCCTTCTTTACTTCAAGGCTACCCCACCTTAGGTTGGGTGCTGTTCATGAGGGGCATGAAGGGTAGGTGTTGAGCCGGCTCTTGGTGACTCCAGTCTACTGACCTGAAGAGGTCAGGCCTATTCAGGGTGTGGCTCAGTACTCCTATTCTGCAGCCCTGGTGACGTGTCCTTGTGAGCCTCAGGGACACTTTCTGTTTTGTTTCTTTCCCATTCAATGGGTTGGTGCCACCTTCTCAGAACACTGGCTTTACCTCTTCTTTGATTTCCACACACAAAGGAAACACTTTTCTGTAGGAACAGAACATGATGTTGCTATTTAAATAGTGATAAATTACTAAAAAACAAAATTGTAAAACTTTACCTGGGGTGCTACGTGCCTTCTCCCCCCTTTATTGGCAGTTTGGGGCACAGAATTCTAGGTAGAACAGAAAAACTCCAACATATTGAGCACTTAAATTGTGCCAGGTATTGTTCTGGATGCTTATGTGCCTTTACTCACGCAGGCGTATGGGTGAGATCCTATTGTCCTCATCCCTATTTTACAGATGATATAACCAGGGCCTGGAGAGGAACTGGCTGCCAGAGCACAATTTGACCAAGGTCGTTCCAGAGCCCTCACCCGGGAAACAGTTTCGTGCCTCTATGTAGAGAGCCACAACAGTCACGGTGGAGAAAGGAAAAATAAAACCAAGCCAAAAAAAAGTTTAACATGGAAACACAGTTATACATTTATGTGCCAATCTACAGTGAAAAATCGTTCCACCTCCATCACCGAGGAAACACAAATTTAGGCCACGGTCACTACCCTACGCCTGTTCTAACCAGAATGGCTAAAAAGAAAAAAAAAAAAAAGAAGAAAAGTATTTGTGAAACTTTGGAGTAAGAGGAGCTCTCGTGTGGAAGTGAAAATTGATTGGACAAACTATGCAGCTGTACTTACTGAAGCCGAGTGTGTCTCACACACTGATCCTGCAGTTGCACTCCTTGGCATAGCCCCTGTGAAAATGCCTGTGTGTGCACTGTAAAGACACATGCCACCGTGTCCCCAGCAGCATTGCTTGTGGTAGACTCAAAGTGGAAACAACTTAATATTCCAGCAACATGGATAAATAAATTGTGGTATATTGTGCGATGGACTGCTGTAGAACAGTGATCACTAATGAACCACCTGGAAGATGGCATGACAATCTTTTTTTTTTTTTCCAAGATTTATTTATTTATGCATACAAGAGTTGGGGTGTTGGCCAGAGGTGCAGGGGTTGAGAGGATTCACCAGAGACAGAGTGGGGAGCAGAACAGGCAGACTGACTAAAATATACTGCTGAGGGGAGCAGCGGGCGCTACAGGAGAGGTCTGCTGTGCCATGTGGGTAGCTCCCTGGCCAGTGGGGGATCAGGAATTGAACTCATGCTGCAGAGGCTGAAGATAGCTTCACAGTGCTGTGCTTAACCCCTTGCGCCACCAGGGAGGCCTGACATAACAGAATCTTGTGGATAGAATGTTGAGTGAATAAAGCCAGGCCCAATAAAATACAAAAAGTGTGATTCCACTGAAAGGAAGTTCCAGTCCTTGCTGTTGTAAGTCAGGAGTCTGGTTACCTACTGGTGGTCACTGGCATGGGACACAGAGAGGGTCATGGGTTCTGGTAGTGACCCAGTGCTTGAATGGGGCCATCGTTATGCAGATGTGTTCACTTGGAACACTTATCAAGCTGTGCATTCCTGTTTGCACTTAGCTAATAACTGTATTTAAAAAGTACTTGAGTGATAGTAAAACTTGGTTCTAGTCTTACCTGTGAGTGCCTCAAGCAAGTAACCTCTCATAGATCCACTTTTCTTGTAAAATCATTGTCTTGGACTAGATTGTGGTTTGCAAATATCATAGCCACCTCTTCAAACAAAAATCTAAATATAGGAAACAGATCAAGTGGATGGTGACGAAATCAGGCATGAATCAGGGCCCGAGATGAGGCCGCTGTGTGGCCAGAGCCCCAGGAGCAGGCACAGCCCTGATGCGTACTCTGACCAGTGTGCAGAGCTGGCTTCCTGCCCAGGGAGGAGACTGCAAGGCCCTCGCTGACTTTGGGGAATTCTGCAGCTTGGGTTCTAGCACTCAGCCTACTTCAGCACTTAATTGTTCTCTACTGGCTTCCTGTGTTTATCTTAGCTCTGCCATGAAGTCTAACAGGGTAGGGCTTGACTTTGGTTTTGAAGCTCCCTGATGATTGAGAAACAGCCAATCAAAACTGAGTATGGGTTGCTCTTATCAGATAGCCCCCTACCCCCACCCCAACAGAGTATAATAAAATGGAGGTAATGACAAGTTTTTGATGTAGGGATAGGGTGAAGGTGGTCTGGGATGTTGGAAAACTAGTGGTAGACTGACTGCATTGCTCAGAGCTTTGGACACTGGGGAGGGTGGATGTGAGGGTGCTTATATGGGACCTGTGTGGGGGTGGGTGCAGAGACCCAGGATATGTCTGATGAAGCCTCTAAGGCTGTCCATACTGATTCGGTTCCAGCCATGGCAATAATGGGTAACTTAAGGAATCTGACATCTGCAAACCCAGACTTCGAGGGGAGCCACATTTATGCAGGCCTGGCTTTCCCTTGGTCAGATTGATTCAGATCTGTGTGTGAGTCTGTGGGGACAGGCTGTTGTTTGTGGCCAGATTCCTCCCTCCCCGTCCCTCCATCCACTTAGCAGTAGGTATGGCAGGCCTACCCTGTTGTGCTGGGTTCTAGGTACTGGCGGGTCATCACTGACAGAAACAGAAACCTCTCTGCATGCATGGGGGAGACAATACAATAAACAAAACACATGGCAGGAGAGAGAAAGCAGGAAAAGGGTATGTCAGGAAATACTAACTTTCAGGAAAGGCCCCCTCCTCCCCCAGAGGTGACATTCTAGGAGAAGAGATGAGGTCATGGGGGCTGGAGAGGAGCAGCAGGTCCAGAAGGAACCACATGAAGTGGAAAGTTTGCCCTCCTCGAGGACCCCAGAGAAGGGTATTGAGAAACTACTCTAAAGGTGGCCAGGTGCTGTTTTCTCCTGGGAGTAGGGGTGGGTGGGTGTCTTTGTCTTAAATTTTGTCTCTAGGATGAGGAAATGATTGCTTAACAAAGGGAAGTGTTTGAGGGCAGAAGAATCCTGGGGTGCCTTTCTGTGTGTTCAGCCTCCACCTGCCTCTTCTGCCCCAGGGGCAACCCTACCCTATGCTTTCAGGGAGCTGCTTGGCAGAAGACTTTGTGGAGTGGGCCACCTTGAGCCACCACCTTTGAACTTTGAACTGCCTTGGGAAACAATCCCCCAAACAATTTCCTTCCCATCACTGCTTTGAAAGCCTCCTTCACCTCACCACCATTCAGTGTGCTGGGGAAAGTTATGTAATCTCTCTGAGATTGCTTCCTTATCTCTAGAATGGCAGGAGGAGCTCTATGGTTGAGTAGTTTTGAAGATTAGAGATAATCTGTTTAAAGTACCTAATACAATGCCTGGTACAATCAGTAAGAGGTAGCCAAGAATAAAAACGACTAAGTTTTCTCTACTATAATCTCCCCAAATATACCAGTGGGGAGACACAGAGGTCAGGTTCTGGGCCCACAGTCGCACAGCTAGTAAGCGAAGAAAGTGGTATTTGAGCCAAGGTTGTCTGGTTCCCTAGGGAGGGAAGCACAGGAAGGTGAAGCAGGCGGAAGCTTGAACTTGTACTATATGCTGCCTGTGAGTTGTTTGTCCAAATCCCTTAATCTTCGCTCACAGCTTTCTGATCATTTTTCAATTAACATTTTGTTCCTTTCTGTGCTGAGAGACCCACGTCTACGAGGAGAAAGAATAGGGCGTGGGGAGGAGGCTAAATACATGTCACTGTATACTGCCCAACAGAAGAAATTTTCTTCCTCCTCTTCTCTCGACTCTGAGATGTCACAATCAGAGGGAGTTCTTTTGTGTGTGTGTGTTTTATTTATTTTTTAATAATTATTTTATTTTATATAATTCTTACATGATTTTTCATTTTTGCACAATGTATGCATTTTCATTTCAGTTATATTCCCCATACAATTCCCACCTCCCCTTATTTTGACCCTAATCGTTCCTCTCTTCCCCCACATCCCCAGTAGTGTGTCTCTGGCCTACAGTTGCTTGTTGATTTTGATTTTTTTCTCTATTATAATTTGTCTTTTTCCTGGTCCCTTATTTAGGTTTTCTAAATTCCATATGAGTGAGACCATTTGGTATTTTTCTTTTTCTTTCTGGCTTATTTCGCTGAGCATGATCCCTTCTAGCCCCATCCATGTTGCTGCAAATTGCATGAGTTTATCTTTTTTGAATGCTGAGTAATATTCCATGGTGTATATGTACCACATCTTCTTGATCCAGTCATCTATTTTTGGGCATTTGGGTTGTTTCCATAGTTTAGCTCTTGTAAACAGTGCTGCTATAAACATAGGGGTGCAGGTGCCCTTTTGAATTAATGTTTCTGTGTCCTTTAGGTTTAGAGGGAGTTCTTAAAGGGCTGGTGTGGAGGTACAGGAAGGCAGCAGGCAGAAGGTGGGAGAAGACAAGGAACCTACTCACCTGATTTGCAGCTGTCACTGGTTGGGTTTTCCACTGGTGAACTGAGGAGCTAGGTCCCAGCAGGCTGAGATGGAAGGGGATCATGCCTGAGCACTTAGATCCTAGAATAATGGAATACAGAAAAGCACAGAATAAATCTGCATGTAGCTGTTGGGTCACGCTGCCCCATTTTGAGAAACAGTCTGACAGACAGCAGAATCAAGAATAATGTTTTGCCTAATTTTTTCTCTAAAAACAGGAAGTTTTTTTTTTTTTTTTTTTTTTTTTTTGTGGGACCCTCGCTGGTGGCCGGGGAATCAAACTGGCGCTGCAGAGGCTGCAGGCAGCCTCGCAACCCAGCACTCAACCGCTGCGCCACCAGGGGAGGCCCTTTTTTTTTTTTTTTTTTTTTTTTGAGACAAGAGTCTTACCACCCCAGACTAGGTTTGCAAGGTATGTTTTTGATGCATGTGTAGATAATCCTTCTGTAAAACTTCTTCTCTTAAATTGTAAAATTATTTGTTCTGTCTTTCCTTTCTGGAAATTATATTACTTCACTGGAATGACCAGATTGTAGGTTCCATTGTTCTATGTATGTGCCTCTGTGTACACATAATTGAAGTTTGTCTGTTCTCTTGCTAATCTCTCTGTGTCAATTATTTTATAGCCAAATGAACTTAGAAGGTTAGAGGAAGATTAGCTTTTTCCAAATGTGGTCATGGGCCACTGGCTACCAAGGGTGCTGTAGATGCCCTTGAGTGACAACCAGGCATGTGACCAACTCCAGACTGAGATCAGGCTAAGTCAGGACCTAGTAGAAATGATTGACTCACAGTATTCAGCCATTCAAAGTAATCAGCTTTTAGAAATGTCTGTAATTAACCTTATTTTGAATGAATGAAGGAAAGAATGAACAAATGATGACTCAGTCATTTGAACCCCAGGTCTCCCATCTGACTGAAGTACTAGGTTTTTATACACTCATTCATAATCCCATAACACAGAATTAGCATTGTTAACCTTCACATATATTTCCTTCTAGTTTGTGTTCAGCACAGTTGCGCATGTGATGTGTGTAATTCAATTTTACATTCTGACTGCCTTAATTTTAGCAATCCACGTGAAACAGTCTAACCAGTATACTAGTTCTATGGAAAAATAGCAAAATTGTTAAATGTGTCCCTAAAACTAAGACATATCCTATCCTAATCATATTACATATAGGCTGATTCTAACATTTTTTAGAAGAGAGGCGTTTGGAAGTGAAAATAGGAACTTGAACAGATATTTGCGCACCTGTGTTCATAGCAGTATTAATCACCGTCACCAGAAGGCAGAAGTAGCCCAAGATCTGCGTGTGGATGAGTGGATAAGCAAATGCACAGAATAGGATATTATTTGGCCTTGAAAAGGAAGGAAATTACACATGATGCAAAAGGGTGAATCTTAAAGACATATGCTAAGTGAAATAAGCTGGAATGAGGAATGAGGTACCTCGAGTCATTGTATTCAGAGACAGAAAAGAGGTAATTACTAGGGTTTGGGGGAGAAGGAAATGGGGAGGTGTTCAATGGGTGCAGTTGGGGAAGATGAAAGTCCTGGAGGTAGATGGCGTTGATGCTTATACGTGGAGTATACTTACTGCCAAAGAACTATAATACCCTACAGTGGTATTCTTCATGTTTTGTATTTACGTATTTCACTGCAACAAAATGAAGCAAAGATAAGACTTGGTCCCTGGTTTTGGCCCCCCTCACATTCTGGAAGATTCGTCTTCCCTCTCTTCCCTACAGAGTTCCTCTAACCTTCACCAGTCCTCTGGAGTGAAGCCAGCCAGGCTCTCCCTTCCTTCTTGCTTATCCATCCCTATGTCCCCAACACACACACACATACACACCCTGGAGATCTAGATTAAGGGTCCTGAATCCTACTGGGCCTATGACTGTCAGAGTAACGTCAGACATCTGAGACAGGGCCCAATATGGGGAACTGTGCAAGTAGTCTGCATCCTGAACAAGCTCTCCTGTAAATGATGCCAGGGTTGGAAGAGGGGGGTGGGAAGAAAGAGTGTTAGGGAGAGTCTGCTGTGTAGGCAAGGATGCCTTGAATCCTAAAGCCACTTCTTAGAGAAGCACCTTCTAAATCACAGACTCAACCCCTGCCTGAGGATTTCCAGGCTTCTGTGTTTCAGTGTATCAGGGACCTGGAGAACCCCGACCTTCATCTGGTAGGCTAGAAATAGAAATGCAGCATCCTTCCTGCAACACCCCTGCACCCCGGACCACCTCAAGGCTTCTGCCACACTGGGCTGAGAAGACAAACCTTGCTTGTGGGTCCTGTGGGAGTTGATGGAGGGGCGGGGACAGGCTGCCTGATCACTCAC